AGCAAGACAGGAGAGGTCTCCTGCACCATGTGGTACAGCAGACATCAGTGAAGAGTTAATACAGAGATCAGTATAACAGCCCCACACAAATGTAACTAATTGATTTTTGACAGATGCAGGAGCAATTTAATGGAGAAAAAATAATTATTTAAAAAATGGTTTGGGAACAACTGGACATACTTATAAGGAAAAAAATGAAACTCAGCCTCAGTTTCCTCTCATTTACTGACTTACAAGCCTGTTCAGAATTTAACTTTTTTGCACATCCTTCATACAATTTAGGATTGGCCACTATGTGCCCATGACTATTCTGACTGGGATTTTCTTTAATTCCTTCTTGAAAGCACCTACATATAGCATTATAGGTAGATAGATGCTAAACTTATATTCCTCTGTTGGCTGGAATATACACCCAAATTCACAAGAGAAAGAATTGGGCCGCCCCCAGGGCTCCCTAATGGAGCTGGCTCAGTAGAGCCTCTATTTCGAGAAGAGCCCAGCGCTGTCCATGTTGGGACCCTAAACCCTTCATCACTTGGTGTGAGTTCATCCTGTCACACCCATTTGCAGAACTGCCAAGAACACAAGAGCAGTCCTAAGTGGAAAATGAAAACTCTGAGAGGTAGTTTTTAAAAAGCATCCTCTTAAGAGCTTAATACTGCATTTTGGGAGTTACAAAATCAGGAAAAGATAATCAACAACATGTATTTTATGTGAAGGTGTTACAGTGCTCTTCAGATACAATGTGGGAGCTCATCGCCCCTCCTTCCCCAGCCAAATAAAAGGAGAGACAACTGAAATCAAGATAACCTTTATTTTTGTTATTTCTCAAATCAAATTCCAAAGGGGACACCTGAAACCTCAAAGGAGCTTCCTTCAATGGAGACAAAACTTAGTTCCATATTCTAATGCAAAACCAGACACTGAGACTCAGAGGATGATCCCTCTGTTTTCCTCTTGTTTTGTTTTTCTAGTTTCCTCTATGTTCTAACTCCTGTAAAACCCCAAACCACTGCATGGAAGTCAGAATTCACAATTCAAAGACAAAAATGGATTTTCAAGTTCCTTTTGAAACTCCCCGCCCCCCGTCTTTCTTCCCAAGCTTTTTGAACTTTTCTGTAGCTTATTAGTAGCAAGTGGAACACTCCCCAAACAGTAAAATACGTCATAAACCTTGTTATAACATCTTTCTTTTTAATGTCTTCCTACAATAGCTCATTCAGTTTGAAAAGTCCTAACTGAAGGGTTAGAAAGCAGTTACTGCCACATCAAATATTCACAGACAAAGTCTTCAGATTTCCTACCAATAGGAAGAATTACAAAGAAAATTTCACCACAACTGAAGTGGACCATCTGCAGGTCAAAGAGAGGTTGCGTAAGTATAAGGAAAGACAGAGAGAATCTTTACAGACTGCAGCTGCTTCAGTTTACCTGACTGTCATTGCGCATCTTGGAATAAGACACACAGGCATCTCCTCCACCAGGTGCAGCTGTGTGTGAGCAGAGGGACCTCTGGTAAGGCGGCTGCAGGTGCCTGTGAAGAACTGAAACCCCTGGCCTTCATGATTTTACTCCCCTCTCTTTTAACCTTCTCAGTATTGGGAGATGTACAACATGAACAAGAAGAGAAGTAGTGGGAAAAGGAAAATGTCCATTGGATTGACTAGGATTCTACACAAATACACACCTTGGTTCATTCTTTTAATGTTGATAAGAGATTGACCAAGGATAATACTCCTGCTAGATATCCGCTAACAAATTGTCCTCTGCCCTGCAGTCCAGAGGGAGGTCAGGAATGGCCCTGACACCTATGTTTGAAAGCAAAGGATAGCAACACTCTAGTTACTAGGAAACCTCCACCTCACTGGACAGGAAAACATAGGTAAGGAAATTAAAGGTTTTCTTTGCATTTTAAGACATTTTTTTTCTTTTAGGAAAATGATGTCAATAGAATGCATATACAAAAAGGTATACAAAACTTAGAATTACAACATAATGAGTATTATAAAGAAAGCATCCATGTGCCCACCAAGATTAGGAGGGAAGAGCACTGCCAACATCGCTTACAGGCCTTTCTCTTGAATTTGAGGAGTCCAACACTGTACCTGTTTTTAAAGTTTGAGGCTAACAGCCTCCAAGGCTCCCTACCTTTGAACTTTTCCCTTCCTCTGTAGTTCATCCCATAAAAGAAATTTGCAAAGTAACTGCCCTAATATCTATGCTCACTGAACTAGTACTCCTTCGAATTTTAATAAAAAAATTATTTGAGGGTTAAGTAGTATAAATAAAAATTAAAATGACCAAGAAAATTGTTTTTCATGCACTGAAATTATTAGTATAGTCTTCCAAAATGCCAAGATGTATGGAACCTTGCTTCTAGCCCCAATGTCAAGAGGAACAGTCACACCTCCCTTCAGAAGGGACACCTGCCTAAAACCAGTATTTGAAACTTCAGCAAAATAAGCACAATCTATTTCTGTCCAGTAAGTTTTCTCACCTCCAAAGGCTTCAATGTAATAAAACCAAATAGACTATAAATGATCTAAAATTTAGATGCTTACTTAATATAATGACCCCCAACATAAGATGCACAATCTCTTTAGAGTTGAGGTTTGAGGGCAAATATCACCAACATAGTGTGACAAATTAGTGTCTAATTCAAGACAGAAAATGAAGGTAAATTCCAGTTACTTGGGTGCAGAATTATGTAATCCCTAGCTCTACATCTCCTTTTGCTGCTGAAACAGTGCCTTATTATTATGTTATTCTATAAATGTTTGTTGATCTAAGGCATTGTTATATGAATAATTTCAAAAAAAAGAAAACAGAATTATACTTATTCATTTTGAATTTGTGTGTATTTGTATATTTGTGGTTTCTTAATTACATTCAAAATGTGGAGAAAATAAAGCTCAGGATTTCAAAAATAATTATTATGTATGACATATGACTCTGGAATACAAGGAAGCCTGTCAGGAAAACATGTTTGTTTCTAGTCTTATATTCACTTTTGTTTCCTCCAGGTGATGTGGAGTAGTTTCAAGTCAAGATTCAGAAAGAGTTACAAGACAGGAGGAAAGCTATTCAGAGAAAAGCACACACACGCAAAAAGCAGACACTTCTCTTTGTTCCCCTTCATCCACTATTGTGGAGCTGGGTCATGAAGGGCAAACAGAAGGCTCACAGCAGAGCCTGGTGTCTTGTATAGTGCCACCTAGTGTCCCAGGCTGTAAGCTTAATTTTTTTTTTTTTTTTTTTTTTTGCCAAGGTTGAAAAATAATACATTCCAAACTTGTGAACAGATTTGACAAGTTGTTACTCATATTTATGGGACAGTGTAAATGCCAGCTGACAAATCATTTGCATAGATTTTATTTCAACAAGTACATCTCCTATTATGCAGTGCCTTCACTCTGCACAAAAGCTGCCTAATGAGTGTACAACTGTGTTTCTAGAGAGGAAGCACCAGTCCTCTACCTGCCCATGCTCTGCTAGGTGTTGACCTAGAATCAAATCCTGGTTGTGCCTGGAGAAGGTCTAGATAAAAAGGTAGAGGCAGCCTTCTGGTGGGTACTCAACTTCTTATGTTTGTTTATTTATTTATTTATTTGTTTGTTTATTTAGGTAATTTTCTTTTTTTTTAAAGATTTATTTATTTATGCATATAAGAGCTGGGGTACAGACCAGAGATGTGGGGCAATGGTGGCGGGGTGGGGGGTGGGGTGAGAGGATTCACCAGAGACAGAGTGGGGAACAGAACAGGCAGACTGACTGAAATACACTGCTGAGGGGAGCAGCAGCTGAGACAGGAGAGGTCTGCTTCTCCATGCGGGTTGCTCCCTGGCTGGCCAGGGATCGAACTTGTGCTGCAGAGGCTGAGGATTGCTTCATAGTGCAGTGCTTAACACCTTGTACCACCAGGGAGGCCCTCAACTTCTTATGTTTAAAGGAACTTGTTTGAAGAAAGTTAAGAATCTGGTTTCAACTTCCCTTCCAAATTAAAATGAAGCAACAGTTGCAGGCTTTGACTTTGTTCTTAATTAGTTTTTCATTCCTCTACATGTTGCTAAAATTCAGACTTAGCAGCCACTCTGTAGCATGCAAAGGTCCCAAACTATACTCAAGTGTTAGTGATTTTAAGAGAGATGTGGGAAGAAGAGAAAATTATGAACAATGATAAAGAGGCTTCTGCCCCTTCCTACTACTTAAAGGCATACGTATAAACTACTTCCAGGCAAAGCCTTAAAACTATAAAGCCCTTGAGAGGAGTGTTATGAGGATATCTGGTGACTATTCAGTCAAAGGCAGCAGAATCCCGCATAAATCAAAGGAATAAGTTCTAAACAGACAGGGAAGTTCTGTTCTTCCTGCTTTCTGGCATAAGGATGAGCTCAGCAACCAAAGAGAAGTTGACTGTACATAGGCAATGGTTAGATACGTAGGACAGTGGTATACCTGTTCCCAGTTGGGTAGCAGAATGGTGGGCTGAGTAAACAAATGAGAGGAAGGTAGACCGACGACCTCTGAGGACCCCATGACTAAATGACCTTGACTGTTCACAAGCCCTTCACTTGGAATCATACAGTAAAAAAATAATCTTCCGAATAATTCTAGGTAAGCTGAGACTACCTTATAGTTAATAAATGATAATAAATGGTTTTATAAATGGAAGGATGAAAAGGGCTGGCAGAGAAAATTAGAAGCCTAAGAGTTGATGCTACGAAAGTGCTTTTGTGTGTGCACACACACACAGATGTGTATATATGTGCAATTGAATAGCACATCACAAGTATATATGTGCAATTATATATATATATATCATGATATGCAATTAAATTGCAAAAGAAATAATTTTCTTGAACCTAGTTGGACAGTTCTTTATTCCTGCTTAAAGTTCAAAATGTTAGCAATGCAGCCTGTCAGTTCTTAGCCACTAACTGGAAACCCTAGCAGAGTTTCTAGAAGCATCAGGCCAGGGCTATCAAGAGCATTCCAGATACCTGTTCTGGTCAAAGGTATTGAGAAGAGTTGCTGAAGAAGTGTGTTTTCCGATGTTCTCAGGACTACAATCACATCCGCAGGAAGAGTATCTCTGTTTTTCTCAAGAACACCAGAAGCATCATAAAATACCTGTAACAGCAGCAGCAAGTCACAAATTAGCCAATACTGTCCATTGCTGGCAATACCAGCAAGTCATCTCAGTTCATTCATTAATCAACCTGTGTATAAAATTTGTCTTGATGCAGTCATGCTTTTAGATCCAAACTACCAAATAAAGGGCAAAAATTGTCAGTTTGGGCAGGTCAGTTTATTATAACTTCTTGTTCAGTTGCTCTTTGAAGAAAAGCCATTATCAGGATAATTATGAAAATAGGTTGGGTACTCACTATATGTGAAGTTCCCATTCTATGAAGTAAACACCATTATTTTCTCCATTTTATTGGTGGGCCATCAGAGCCTCAGAGAGGCTGAATGGCATATCCATCATCACACATTGTACCAGTGGTGGGCACACATCCAAACCTAGGGAGTTTGGCTCCATGCTCACAACCACTATACTCTCATTGTTTCCCAAGGTATCCCATGGCACCTATGTGATTGCTCAGTGATGCTAAGCAATTCTCAATTCTCAGAAGAGAGGGGATCTAGGTCAGTAAAAATTTTGATGAATGTTCCAGAGAAATAAGCATTGAGTTGCACAAGAATTCGGGAAAAGATGCAGAGTCCAAAAAGAAAAGGATCCTTTTTTTTTCTCCCCAAATTTAGAAAGGAAAAAAAAAAGGAGAAAGAGCAGTAAGTAATAGGAAATAGGTGTAAAAGGACGGAGACACAGAAAAAGAGGTGCAGGGAAGAGGAAAGAAATGGAAGGCAGAAAAGACAGGTGTGGGAGGATGGCAAAGTTTAGGGAAGAAACAAGTATCTCAGACAAGGAAGACATAAATATGTGGTTAGACATGAATGCTAAGGTAAATGAAGCATTTGAGGGGAAAACGGCAATGATTTATATCATTATTTCATATCCTTTTAAATTTTCTAACAGTATAGGAGTTCTTCCCTTAGGTGTGGTCACTGAAGCTCTCCTACCACCAAAGCTCTTAAGTCCTCCACCACAGTCCATTGTTGATTGCAAAGTTCCAAAATAGACACCACCATGTACTACATGGAGAGAACAATAACTACCTTTACTTGCATTAGAGTTGCCGTCAAGAACTCTTCTATTGGGCAAAATTAATTTCAATGTCATGATATACATGTGAAAAATAATTTCAATGAGTCTTAAATCAACAAAATAATCCAAAATGCTTTTTATTGAACTTCTCAAGTTTTTGTACCCAGAGTCTCTGCAGTCCCCATCAGAAGCAACTAGGCATAATTCAAATGACTTCTTTGAGAGTAACTTAAGTGTGAGCTGTTGGTTACAAGACTGGAGGATTTCCTACATCAATCACTAATCTCCTTCAAGAACATGAAATTGAGACCCAGTCACAGTGTATGAAGTGGAAATTTCAGTTAATATTGTAAAAACTTAACATTGAGATGCTGAAGTGAATTTTTTTTCATGGTGCCCTGGAGGCATATACTTAAAGTGCTAAAAATTGAGCCCCACCGTGATATTAACTTCCCCCATCACCGACACATCTCCAGATGAATTTAGAATGTGAACATTCACCACTAAACACTGAGAACACTACGTTTTCTCTCCAGAATGCTGTCACTTCAGGGCCAAACCTCAGGTGAGAAGCAGATGGCAGCTCTTCAGGCCACCCCAATGAGAAATTATTTCTTTACCAGGGGAAACTTTCTATGAGTGGTACCAATGGAAAAGTTTGGGAATTATGACTGGGTGTTCAAGAAGAATTAGAAAGATAAAGAAATCTGCAAGCAATTTTGTGAGCAGCAGACTGACTGATATGAACACTTAACCCCTTGTTAAAACCAGGTTTGATAACTGACATTCTCTCACCTTTCCAGCATAGTGCTGAATGCCAAAGCACAGCTCCACTCCTTTGGGCCTCCAGAAGTATTTGCATCGTAGATTATCTTCAAATTTGTCTGTGGATTTTCATATTTAAAAGTTACAACATGAGTTGTTTGCTCCTTCAAACATAAACATGCTCCTTAAACCAAGAGTGATCCAGAATAAGGGCTTTCAGAGCAGCCTGATATTATCGTCATATTTACCATGGTGGATAAAGACACCACATGAGATGGGCTTATAACTGAGTCCTCCCTTAGTTGTTTTGTGCTGGTTTTAGTGTTAAGTTGTGCCTTAAGAACTTATATTTTGTTATCTTTAAAAACTCCTAGCATGGACACTGATGACACTAGAAATCTGGCCAATTAGTCTTAGAATCATAAAGATATTCCATGGAAGCAATGCAATAGTGGTTTAAACTCATCTTGGCAATTTATGAGGATTTTATAGATAAAAGGAAACCACTGAGGGTTAAAATTACAACTTCTAGAAATGAATGTCTCACACAAACCAATTTTCCATCTGGAGAAAAGGCTTTTTTGGCTATTATTGTGATTGAGAACCTACTCTGTGAGAAACTGTGTTAAGTACTAAAGAGATGCAAGGATTGGAGGGGTGAAGTATAAAGGGATTTTAATGCCAAGAGGAAATGTCTTATAAGCAGCCCGTAGATAACAGTGACCTAGTGAAAAGATGGCTTTAGAAAGACTAAATTCACTAGATGTCGAGGCTAGAGCAGGAAAGTATGAGTCTAGAAGGCAGGAGACAAGAGGGGCTGCTACGCAAATGTGGACTAGAGGTGAATGGGGATCTGGGGGCATAAACAAGTGTTGAAAAAAGCAGGTGTAAAAATTATATGGGCACAGGATAATGGTATTTTTGGGGCAGAAATAGGAAAGTAAGGAGGATTTGGGAGATGGTGATGAGTTTAAGATACAAATTCTACCAGGACATTTGCCGAAGACTTCAATTCATTAAAAGCGTCTATACTTCATACTCTACCAGATGACCAATACATGGCAAATTATTTAAAGCCCATTTATTTGATGACAAGAGCCAAATTTTGCCTTTTCCAAGAGTTACCTACCAACCAGAGTCTGATCAGTTGCTTGGGGAAATCGACTTTCCTCATCCAAAAGTGCAAGCAGTCCCAGGGGTTTCTGGAGGAACATGTCTAGGAGGGGGAGATTGTCCTCATATTCTACCTGGGTAGCGTCAATGCCCTCATCCTGATACTCCATCTGAAAGGAAACAGATTATGAATATCTCTGGCCTGATACTGGCCTAGGTAGCACCAGCTGCTTTGTACTGTACTTTCCAAGTCTGGCAACATTGAATGAATGTATGTTTTATGTATGTAGTAAAGGATACTTCTGCATGTAACACTTGAAGTTTTGGGGTTAAGTCTTTGGGGTGGCCTGAGGCAGCAGCTGAAGTCAGCAAAAGAAGAGGCAGCTCTTTGCCTCCCAAACACCAACTTGGTAACTCATAATTTAGAAACTAATACAGAAAGAAAGAGAAGCTAAAAAATATATTTTTTTTTTGGTGACAGATATAGTTTAAATCAGGAAGAAAGAAGACTTCTATCTTCTACAGAAGATTCTGTAAAGGAATCATTCTGAACAGGAAAACTAGAAAAACTCCAGATTTCCCAGATAAATAAATGAAATGACGTCAAGTTCTATGTAGGGCGGTAGGGTGGTTGGAGAAAGGAGTGCTGTAAGGATGTATCCACCTCTCATACTGAGTATTTTCACTCCAGGTCTTTCACTATGTTGACTAATCATAATACATTTTGTGCATCCTCACTCCCACATTAAAACAACAGGGTTGGCTAGAACGGTTCATTAATTGTAACTACCAAATACAGGACCTTCAGGTGTTGGATTAGTGTTTGGGGTTGAGCAGAAGCCTTTGCATCCACTAGCTTTGCATCCTGTTTTGTTACCGCTAAATTCATAGGGGAAAAACTTCCATTTCAAGAAAACCAAGGATATAGCTTACTCTTTCCCCGGAGACATTACTCCATTTCCTGTGGGATCTCATATGTACAAGCTGGGGGATGAGGATAGCCAGTTTGGGAGGTAAGCAGTCAGTATTAGGAATTGCTGCTCAAAACAACAAGAACCTGTGTCCTGAATCCAAGACCATCCTGTGTCATTTAGACACAATCATAGCTATCTTTGGTTAAATAAAGTAGAAAAGAATGCAGCATTGGGGGAAATACGCATGAAACAACTTGGAAGCAATATCTAAATAATTGGCTTGTCACCAGACCACTCAAGTGAGGAAATATATACCTTTCCACAGAAGTCAAGATGACTTTTTCTCAGACTAAATTTAGCCTATTTATTTTGACAAGACTGCTTCACCAGTGGTTTTCTCTTCAGAATCTTTTTCCTATTTGTCTGAATAACTCTGAATAACAGAGTTTCTGCTTCAAATTGTGGGCAGCTTAAAGACAACACCCCCCATCATGTTTGGTGACTTCAAAGTTTACTATTACCTGCTCGAGAGCAAAAACGTGCTGATTGAAATAGTACTGGATTTGCTCATTGGCGATGTTTATGCAGAGCTGCTCAAACGAATTTCTTTGAAAGTTCTCAAATCCAAAAATATCCAAGATGCCCACATTCATCCCATCATCTGCATTACTGCATGAGAAAATAATAAAATCCTTTAGGGGAGAAAACGACCAGTGCAGGACCACTGAGAATATGTGTGCCCATGTGTTAATGAACACCTGTACCCACTCAAGGAGAGCGGCACTCTGTTATCTCTAAGGGAAGTAAGAGTTTGTGTCTTAAACCATTTGGTCCATTAGTCTTTCAACAGTGTTTTCATCTTCCTTGCTTTTAAAGCTGTAGAATCTTTTAAAAACTTACTCAAAAGCACCACATATTGATTAAAGAAACTTCTGTGTTTGAAGGGGCTGCTGCTGCTATTCACTAATTCTTCCACCTATCGGCAAAGCTTAATTGGAAGAATACTCCTTAGGACATGATGTCAATTCTTCCACAAAATAGCGACCACTAATGTTTTGGGGGGAAAGATGGTAGTGGTGGTGGTGGTGGTAGTAATCGTTGTTGTTGTAGTTACAGCAGCAGCAGTAGCAATTTAAGTACTGTGCTTTATACTTTATATGAAATGCCTCAGTTGATTCTAAAAACAACATTATCACAAAGACTTTATTATGCTTATTTTATAGGTAAGAAATCTGTGATTTAGGACATTTAGCTGATTAAGCTGTAGAGATTGTCCAGCTCCCAGCCAATCTCTTAAAATACAGCAGATCATGCACCTCTTGAGTGTCATCTCAGCTCTTCTGCATCCCATTCTCCTTTTAAAGGAGAAGGCCTGAGAGTTTTGTTAAAGAAAACCCAAGAGAGGACCAGCTGCTTCCTCTCACAAACTCTAAGAGACACAGGAGTTGGTGACAGTTTCCCCAAGGCCTCTATTCCCCAGGAGAACTTGCCAAATGTTTTTGTCTGGTTGCAGGAGTGTATTGATGCGATTTACAATCCAGCTGAAGAGCCTCCCATATAGAGCCTTGGACATGGCATCTCTGACATCAGCAGCCCTGTCAATGGTGTTAGCTCGGATGATGGTCTCACCCCGGGTGACCACACAGTGGGAGGTCAGGGCTTCCTGAAGCTCTTCAGGGCTGATGCACAGAACAGATGCAGCTGGAATATAGGGTAAAGATGACACCAGATAATGCAGTCATCTATCCACTTATTCGGCCAACACGTATTCAACATTTGCTACGTGCCAGGTACTATTCAAGATAATTCAAACTCAAAGATAAACAAGTCAGGTCTCTAGCCCCAAGATGCATCCAGGCTGATGTACTATCTCTCAAACTGTCTGAAGCTCTTCACAGGTATTTAGTAAACAACAAGTGGGAAGAAGAGGTCTTTGGTCAAATAAGTGGGAGGAATAGCTATGGACTATAGACTCTCAGAGGGTACAAAGCACATTAGCATATTAAAGTAAAAATTCTGTAGTGTACCCAAAAATAGATGACTAGATCAAGAAGATGTGTATATATATATATATATATATATATATATATATATATACACACAATGGAATATTATTCAGCAATCAAAGGGGATAAGCTCATGCCATTCACAGCAACGTGGATGGAGCTAGAAGGAATTATGCTCAGTGAAATAAGCAAGAAGGAAAAAGAAAATTATCAGATGATTTCTTTTTTTTTTTTTTATAGAGGCATGTTTTTTATTTATTTATTTGTTTGTTTGTTTGTTTATACAAGCACTGGGTACAGTCAGAAGCGCAGGAGGGTGAGAGAATTCACCAGAGCCAGAGCGGGGAGCAGAGCAGGCAGAAGGACTGAAGTACACTGCTAAGGGGAGCAGCGGGCGGCAGGAGAGGTCTGCGCGCCATGTGGGACCCTCCTCCAGCGGCCGGAGAGCAGCCGGGGATCGAACCGGCGCCGCAGAGGCCGCGGGCAGCTTCGCAACCCAGCGCTCAACCGCTGCGCCACCGGGGAGGCCCAGATCATTTCACTTATAGCAGGAATGTGGAGGAACCAAATAAGACATCGGTGTAAAAAATAATAACAGTGCAAAGCACAACAAAGCAAAAATAGACAATTGTGGATCAAAGACATACTGCAAAGGGGGAGGAGGGAGAGGGATCAGAGAGAGGGAGGGAGGAGCACAGGGAATTGAGGTGATGGTGCACGGGTACATTGGAAAGGGAGGTTCCATGGGGACTGCACCTGCGGGGATGGGGGGAAGCAAATGTTGTTTGAAAATGAACAATGATATAAAAAAATTAAAAAATTAATAATTTTTTTTTAAGTTTCTGTAGTATAACACAAAAGGGACTTTTTTTTTGCAAACTCAGGATTTCATTTCTTTTGTCACTGTGAATACCTGCAGGATATTAAAAACAGATTCATACTTTCTCCCCTTTTTGATTCAGTGGATTAAGAATGGGGTCTATCCTCTTGCTTTTTTTGTTTTGTTTTTAATTTGTAGAAGGTTTTCAAAAGTAACCAGTGTTGAGAATTATTGCCCAGAATTACTACCTACCATGGAATACTTTTCTGCAGAACACCTATTTACAGTTTAGGGAAAGTGACTGATTATCTATAAGACATCTTTTGAGGAACACTGGCTAATGAAAACACTCAGCATCTGTAGAACGACCAGCAATAGTCACACTATCTTCTATCAAATTGAAAAACAATAAAAGTGAAAGAAACATGTACTTTGGCAACACAGTGCATAGGCATCAAATAGTTACCATTTTTCAAAGCTTCAGCATTGGGCACTTCACTTATATCAGTTTGATGCTGAGAGGAAATAGCTGCAAACTCAATGTTTCCAATATTCAAAATCCCAGCCAAAATTCTGTACACTGAGTGGACCTCCTGAAAAAGACACCAAAAAGCACTTTTGAAGGTCTTTGTCAGTCAGACCAATGAACCACTAGCACCATGGCAGAAACTGTGAGTTGAACACGAAAATCCATTCTCCCCTTTTCCTGGCACAAAAATAAATTTCTTAGCCCCACTTGCAGTTAAGGGTGACCATATAACTAAATTTTTAACGAAGGCCTCCCTGGTGATGCAAGGGGTTAAGCACAGTACTGTGAAGCTATCTGCAGCCTCTGCAGCATGAGTTCGATCCCCGACCAGGGAGCTACCCACATGGTGCAGCAGACCTCTCCTGTCTTGCCTGCTGCTCCCCTCAGCAGTGTATTTCAGTCAATCTGCCTATTCTGTTCCCCACTCTGTCTCTGGTGAATCCTCTCACACCTCCCCCAACCCGGCACCTCTGGCCTGTACCCCAGTTCTTGTATGCATAAATAAATAAATCTTTAAAAATAATAAATTCTTTTTAAAATTTTTTTTAATTAATTTTTTTTTGTGTGTGGGACCGTTGCCGGTGGCTGGGGAACGAACCGGCGCTGCAAAGGTTACGGGCAGCCTTGCAGCCCAGCGCTCAACCGCTGCACCACCAGGGAAGGCCCAAAAAAATAATAAATTCTTAACGATGAAGCAAGTAGAATGATATGGGCCACTTCTAGGCCTAGCCTTATGGAAGCCAGCATGCCCTCTCTATTCCTTCTTTCCCATTATTGCTGGCTGGAATTGCCAGCAACCCAGACTGAACCATGCCATTGATTAGGTTGCTATGACCAAATGAAAATATAGAACAAAGTTGTTCTGCAAGCTGCACTCCTTACCTTGGAAAGCTAATATGTAAGAGAACTGATCTTCTTCATTCTTGAAGTCACTTTTAATCTTTTACCTTAACTAATATCAACTCCCAAATTCAAAGCAAGAAAGGAAATATTTTCCCTTTACTTTTCTTAAACTTTTCCTTTGGTAGGACATCCCTTGGAAGCTCACTAGAACATTTTGAAGTTAAAGGAATGAAATATATATATATATTATATATATATACACTTTATATATATATGACTTCATTCATATATATATATATATATATATATATGAATGAGGTCAGAAAATATTTTGAAAGACTTACAGACTGTGATATTACAGTAAAGTAAGAAATATATATATATTTGGTTCTCATCCTGGTTCTGGCACAAGAGCTTTTAGTGATCTTGTAATTTCCTGAATGATAAGGGTGATTCATCATATGCTATAATGAATGTTATGATGAATCTTATTTGCTCATCACAAGACCCTTTAAATTATACCTGAGTTTGTGCTAATGGGATAACTCTTACTGGATGGGGACTGGTTCTAGAGGAACCAATCTTATGATTAGAGAATTAGAATTTTTAGCTCACCCTACTCTGAAGAGAGAGGAGAGGGGCTAAAGGTTGATGTAATCAAAAAATGTGTAATGATTTAACCAACCATGTCTATGTAATGGAACAAAAAAAAAAACAAAACCCAAATTGATGAGGTCTGAATGACTTGCAAGTTGGTGAACACGATGAAGGTGATGAGATGAGGGTGTGCCTAAAGAGGGCACAGAAGCTCTACATTTCCTCTGCCTCCTGCCAATATGTGCCCTCTGGCTCTCTTCCATTTGGCTATTTCTGAGTTTTTGTGTTTTTTTTTTTTAAGATTTATTTATTGAAGCATGCAAGAACTGGGGTGTAGACCAAAGGTGCAGGAGGTGAGAAGATTCACCAGACAGTGGGGAACAGAACAGGCAGATCCACTGAAATACACTGCTGAGGGGAGCAGCGAGGAAGACAGGAGAGGTCTCCTGTGCCATGTGGGTCACCTCTCTGGCTGCTGATAGCTTGATAGTGCTGTGTCTTTAACCCCCTGCACCACCAGGGAGGCCCTATTCCTAAGTTTTATCCTTTATAAGAAATCAGTAATAGTAAGTAAACTGTGTTTCCAGAGCTCTGATAGTTGTTCTAGCACATTACTGAAAAGGAGGAGGGGATCTTGGGAACCCCCAGTTTCTAGCTGGTTGGTCAGAAGTGTCAGAGGCCCAAGAATTTCGGTTGGCATCTGGGGAGTAGTCTTGGGGACTACGCCCCTAACCTGAGTGATCTGTCATTAATTTCAGGTAAAGTCTGACTTCATTAGAATTGTAGGAGAATTGGTTAGTATGGAAAACCACATTTTTTATGTCAGAAGTGCTATGAGTAAAGACAATTCAGAATATCTTAGTCCTGTTTTCATACTGAAATTGAATGTGTTAGTCACATTAGTGACTTTTTTTTTTAAAGTATAGTTGACCCATGAACAACACAGGTTTGAAATGCATGAGCCCACTTAAATGCAGATTTCTTTCTCTCTTGAATTCCACATTTAAGGTTCATCCAACTGACACTGGGAGTTGAATTTCCAGGTGTGTAAAACCCGTGGATACAGAGGCCAACCAGAAGTTATCTCATATTTTCAACTACTGGGTGTTGGAGACCCTAGTCCTGCAATATTCAAGATCAACCACACATTTATTTGTTTAAATACCTACATTTCCTCTAAGTAAGACAATAAAATATATAACCGGGAAATTTCTCATCAGATGCTTTTAGACAGAAAAAAGCACTTCCACAAAAAATATTCAGGTCAGAAACTTGATATAGTACTATACATAGCAGCACACTAATAGGAATTGTCATTAAGCTGTTGATAAAGCATTCCCTCCAAAATGAGCCTTTTTGTAAACATTAGTCAGTAAAGCCAAAAAAACTGAACACAGACTGTAATAGTGACATCTGGTGGATACATGGTAATGCTACAAAGACAAATGAGGATTTTAAACCAGTCATTTACTACATACAGATATTGTTCTTCAAACTTCTAAAACAAAGGGAAGATGTCATGCTTCTGACGTCAAGAATCATTGTTTTATCACACGACTTAAGAGTGGTTAAGGACACCTACCAAATGGGCTAGTCTGGATTTAACATGACAGGACCTCATTACCCTGATTAATATAGTGTGAGGCTTGCAGAATGCAGTGACTTTGCACAGAGGTAGATCCCAGAGGATAAAACAGACTAGACAGCAGTGAGCACTGTTATTTCTATATCTAGTTACCTCAAAAGTAACAAGCACACCCCATAATGACAGCATAAACCATGAAATCTCCCAAAATAAGGCCTCAGGGATTCACCATCGGAGTGATTATCCCCAAAGGAAATGGTCATTCTCACCCCATTGCTTCTTTGACAATAAATATCCTCTTCAGTACAACATTTAGACATTCCCTCTTTTAAGGAGGAAAACTACATATGACCTTCACTAAAAATTCAGAGTCAAATAGTGTGAATCACTGAAGTTAATAGCAAGTTGGGCCTTCCTCCTAAGCTCAGAGGGGAACTTGAGAAGGGATCCAATGGTCACCTCATTGTGGAGGTATTCCTCTGAGAGTGCTCCCCTATACCACATTTATGGTTTATTCTTCTTGACTCCTTTAGTTCCCCCTTTGGGTTAACTAGTGTTTCTTTTCTGATTTAGGATCCTATAACACCCATATACAGTTACTGTAGAATTCAATCAGAAGTACATCCATCTGTGGGGTTATGCCTCTCCTCCCCAATACTTCCTCATCAAATGCCCATTCTTTTCTCCCCCAGAGCCATCTTCCTCACCCTCCTCATGCTATGGGCCAGCTTTGGCTATGGTGCCTTCCCTGGCAGCCCTGCCTTTCCTACAGGATATTGCTATGCTGCTCTATCTGTTCATTTCTCACCAGTTTCCAACTTTCTGTATGATAAAATGAAACAACCTCACTCAGGACAGGCAATCAATTCAAGAAGACTAACAACTCCCCCAGCAGGGCTTTCCAATTCATTGTTGATGGGTATGCATTTGGTTTCACCACCAATCAGCAGAAGCAGGGAAGAAAGAGCATTTTTCCATCAAAGTCCCATGCGGAATGTATGGTCTTGGCTTTTCTCTCTTTCTCAGAAGAAACATCTTTCACTGATGGAGGTATTCTCTCAGTAAAATTGAAGTGAAGAGGAAATTTGAGAACGTTGGTTTTTTCTGTTAGGCTGGGGCTGATTTAAGGAAATATCCCCTGGCCTGGTTCACAGGCATCTTCTGGTAGTTGTTCTGGTTCCTCCCTAGAATTTACTTGCCCTCCCAGTATCTCTTTACCTTGTTTCTATTTATGTTTCTAATTTTTTTCCCCAGCTTTGCCCTCAGTCCTGCAGTAGGCACAGCTGAAGGACTTTTTCCCTGGCTCTGTTCCAATGCCTTTACTCAGTTCCCTTCTCGGAGGCTAATAGCATTTGTACCTTAAAAGCTACTGGTTGGTATAAAAAAAAACTTTTGTATGTCAATCATGTATCAATAAAGGAGTTTTTGAAAAGCCAGTAGTAAGTCCTATTGTATTGTCAGTAAGACACTGGAAATCCTAAAGAATCCCAATTTACATTTGAATAGAGAACCCTTCCGTCTCTTTAGCTGTATTCTCCCAAGTCATAATCTTTATGATAAAATGAAACAAAAAATTTGCCCTAATTTCACATCCTTCTCCTTAATCTTTTAAGTCAAGTCATCTGTAATAAATGTCCAGTCTTGAGTATTTACAATGTCTTACTGACATAAAACAGAGGTTACCATTTTTTTAAACTACTTTATTGATATGAGTGACATACAAATTTTTTTGATAATCTGCCAAAAAATTTTCATGTCATATTAAATATATCTAAAGTGTATCTTATTTAATAATATAATTCATATAACAGAAAGACAAGCATAATAGTAAAGAAAAATAGTATGGTTTGACTCCAAAAATAGGAGCTAACAGCCCTAATTTCACAACAGGATTTTAGGTATAATCCCTCCCAATGCCCCAACCTCTGTACAGGAAATCCTGCCAGAGGAAGACTCCTTCCACCAGGAAAGTTTCTTTATAAGCTCAGGTTCAAGTGTTCTTTCAGGTGCTTTGGGCTAGTGTCCCGGAATTAAAATTCACGCACCTGAGTTCATATTAAAGTTTGCTTAAAGGGTTTGGGAAAAACTCAAGGGGTTCCTGCAGGGAATTAATGATATTATAAGAAAAGATGGGGACCATAATTTTGATTGAACTGACGAGTTCATTTAAGCTCTGTCTAGAAAAGTCCCTCAGAAAATGCTGTTACATTAGCTATTTGGTATTTGCTGCCTAACTTCATTCAATTACATCTGAACTCGGTCAAAGTATTTGAATTTAAAAACATAAAGTGAATAAATTCAGCAAAATAGGTGGTCTATAGAGATGCAGACAAAGAATTTAGGATCCGAGGAATGGAATACAGTCTATTTTATTGCAAAGGTTGCTAACTGACATAAGTCAGTTTATTTCCTGTGTGAATTAAACTTCACTGTGGGGCACAGTGAAGATACACACACATATAATTACATTCTGGTTATTCATTTAACATTCTAGATCAGGCACAAATTAAGAATGTTTATCACCTTTTACATTTTTCTTCTCATATTTATTCATTTCTATTGCATTTTTCCCCCATATGGGTTAGCAGTGGTTTACTTCAAGGGTATACACGTAGCATCCTTAATTTCTTTTGTCTTAGATTTTGTTATTTTAAAACAGCATCATTTTTGTTATTTGCAGTACATTTCTATTATTAGAAGATTTTTAGAAATATTTATATTTTTATTAGAAATATTTCTATTATTTCTATCATACACTTCCTTTGAGAGACAGGAACAATCTCTTCATAGTGTTCTACGACAATTGTTGTAGATATTTATCGAAAGCAAAATACTATAACCCTATGGTCTACTCTGTTGTCCCTTACCCTTTTGAGGAAGTATGCCTCTGAACACTTTAGCATGACCTAGGTGACTTTAAATGGCCTTCTCCACTCTTCTGGTGATGCGTCTTTGATAACAACCAGTTCTATAAATTAATAACCGCAAAGGTCTTTTAACAATGCTGGAACCTGTTTAATTGCTCTCCTCTAGGAGCCAAGGGAAATATATTCCTATTTTTATCCGACCTTTGGGATTTTCCACTGTCAGTTTAAAGTCTGTGGGAGGCTGACAGAGAAAATAAACAGCTGGCTAGAAAGAAGAAAGGTATTATTATGACTAAAGTCAACCATGCTAGGGAGGGAAGGGCTAGCCAAACTCACTTGTTTACAGGAACAACGTTTTATCTAGAGTAGCTATCCCCGGGTAACTGGAGTCCCTTGTAAGCTAATCCCTTAAGATTTAACACTCAAATCTACCTCCTAATCATTCACCTCCTTTGTTGAAAAAGCAAAAGAATCCGTATATTTTGCAAAATTGATGGCACTAAGCCCAGTAACTATGATATAAATGTATCACAGAATAATATTTGAGCCTAGGGTTATAAATATTTTCTGTCACCCTGGCATATATTTAATAGAGACAGCCTGTATCTAGTATGATAAGAGAAGTACAGTACTTAGAGCAATAGTTAATAATGTGCAACTGTGTACCATGGAGAAGGAAGTGACTACAAGAAAGTTACAACAGTTTAATTTTTCTTGGTACACAAGTTGCTACTTGCATAAATAAAATTTCTGTGGCTTAGGTAACTTACATGTTCCCATACTCCTATTACATAATTCACATCAATGTCTGGAGCAATAACAACTCAGAAAAGGTAGTATTGTTTTGGCATTTGTTATCACAGCTATACTGAATTAATGGCAATGATAACAATTTATAGGCACATGTACTTATAACAGTGCTTCTTTACTGTTCACCTGATCATCTTGTTAAAATGCAGATTCTGATTCAGCTATTCTTGGACAGACCTAAAAATCTGCATTTCTAACAAGCTCTGGGTGATGATAATGTTTCTGGTCCACGGGTGACACTGAGTAGCAAGACCTAGTAAGGTGACTAGCAGGGTGTCTGAAAAGCAAGTTCCCTGCCTCTAATTAGAATATTCAAGTCTTCACTCATTTGCATTCAAGAATTTAAACACTTGAACTTATTTCTCTCTTGACAATGACTTACCTTGTCAGTGAACCCTATAATCCTGAAGCAATGATGAATTGAGTCAAATTGTCTTCTGTAAGACTCCTTGGAAGTTATGTCATGCATCACTCTCCCAGTTTCATCAGCTATGTACCTGAACAGAACAGGACAAAACAGAATGAGCACTGACTTGGCAAAGGTCAATCCAAATATTAGGTTCCTTCTTTGCCAGGGTATTTCCTTTATAGTCCAGTGCTGTGGTGGAAGAATGGTGCACATGGCTGAGTAAAATGGCTACAATTGAAGTTTTAAACTTTCTAGAAAATACAAAATATCAGATGTAATTACTGTCATCTCATTCTGGATATTTCTGCTAAGGCTGAGTTTCCAATGAGGAAAACAGCTCCATCTATTTCAAAGTTTTATCACTTGATAGTTGCATGTTCATTAAAAATTAATAATTAACCCCCCTGACACTTACCTAGGAGGCTTTTCCTTGGGAAGTCTGTACTCAGAAAGTTTCTTTTGGTGATAAAGACCAGCATAAATATAGTAAAATATATGAAAATTTTTCTCTCCCCTAAAAAAAAAAAATGGGGGAGAGGGGAGATTATTAATAACATATTCTAGACTTTCCTTTTCCAAGTAATTTATATTATTTCCTTTCCTTGCAAAAAATTATTCTGTACTGAATTTACATTTCCAGGCAATTAAATATGCTATATCCCAATTACAATATAGTAATAGCATTAATCTAGTAATTTTCACAATGCCACATTTTTATTTATTTTTTAAGAATTTATTTATTTTTGCATAGAACTGGGGTATAGGCCAGAGGTGTGGGGGGATGAGAGGATTCACCAGTGACAAGAATGGGGAACTGAGCAGGCGGATTTACTGAAATACCCTGCTAAGGGGGGCAGCTGACAAGACAGGAGTGGTCTGCTGCACCATATGTGGATTAGTTCCCTGATCAGGGGTAGTACTCAGGCAGTAAAGATGATAACACTGAGATTTAACCCCTAGTTCACCAAGGAGGCCCACATTTTTAAACAAACTTATCTTTACTATAAGTAGAAGATGGGTTTAGAGAATGAAACATTTATAGGTAATATTTCAGGTTACTCATTTTGAGAACTTTCGATTCCAGGCAAAGGCCTATGCATCTTTGCCATATATCTTTTGTTTGGAGCCCATGTTGCTTCAGACAGCGATATCCAGCTTAGACATCAGCCACACCTGCTACTTTACTGGAGTCCAGATAAGAATCTACCACCCTGCACTTTGTCAAAGACACTGGTAGGTCCTTGCAATTTAATACTTATTTGCCCAAACTGGTCATATGACTGCATCCAGCCACTCGGTACCAAGAAGGAGAATTTCACTATATGCCCAGAAGAGGGCAAACCCAAAAGGTTAGATAAACAACCCGTAAAGGTCCCACCTTCTCCTCAACCAATGTCTTCAGTCTATTTAACTTCATCAGTGCTATCATATTGAATAAATTTAATAAGAACTGTAAGTGATGGATTCAGATTTCTAAATTCAGTATAATCACATATAATCTCAGTTAATTCTCATAACAATCCCATAAGATTGACTTTATTATGCCCTTTTTTTGCATATGAAGTAAGGTACAAGGATATTAATAATAAGTGAAATACACCTTAAGTGACACAGCTGTGACTGGAACCCTCCTCACATTATCTTTCTATATGACTTCATCACATTTTAACACAGAAAACTAATTTGCATTCTGTCAGAGGTAGCTCTCTAAACTTTAAAATCACTCCAGTTTAAGGAGAAAGAAGTAAGGAATCTCAAAAAAAAAATTAATCAAGATTATCTCTTCCTGGACAGGGTCCTGTGTCCTTCTCCTTTTTTATCTTTAAAGCACTTTACATTGCTTCCTGGCACTTACCACACTTGTTCTACAATAAAGTTTATTTACCGTTGATCCTTGAACAGCACAGATTTGAACTGCAAGGGTCCACTTAAATTTAAGCTTGTTTTTTCTTTTCTATCCATGTGTTGCACATTCACAAATTCAACCAATCCAAAATTCCAGTTTACTGAATCTGTGGATGCAGTATCCAGTTTCAAAACCCCTGGATATCGAGGGCTGATTATAAGGGACTTAAACATCTGTAGATTTTGGAATCCACAGTGGGATGGGTGTGTGTCCTGAAAAAAAATCTCCAGTAATGCTAGGTTAAATTTTTGAGGAGTCAAAAGTTATATGCAGATTTTTGACTGGGTAGTTGGTGCATCTAACTCCTGAACTGTTCAAAGGTTAACTGCATTTGTTGAATGCTTTCTCCCTTCATCCAGTCTACCATCCACACTAAGCTGCATGAACACTTATTGCAACTTTATCTATTTTGTTTATTCTTGTAACCCTAGCAGGGAAAACAACACAAACATACAGTAAGATTAAATAATTACTGAATAATGCCTGAATGGGGCCATGCTCCTGAGGAAGTATGGTCCTGCAAGAAATGATGATGATGATGATGATGATGATGATGACAATAATGATAAGAAGTAGCAGCAGCAGCAGCTAAAAAAGCCCTCTAATAATGTAACAGGAAATTTTAAAAGTAATTTTATATAAATGAACTCATTTATCTTCACAGATACCCATGAGGCAGGCTCTAATAGCACCACCATTTCACAAATGAGGCATAGAGAGGTTAAATGAGACACCGAGGTCACAGACCCAGCATTTTAATCCAGAATAATACATACTATTGATCACTATTACTACACTGCACTTTTTTTTTAAAGATTTATTTATTTATACATATAAGAATTGGGGTACAGGCCAGAGCTGCTGGGGGTGACAGGACTCACCGGAGACAGAGTAGGGAACAGAACAGACAGACCGACTGATATACACTGCCGAGGGGAGCAGCGGGCGAGACAGGAGAGGTCTGCTTTGCCATGTGGGTTTCTCACTGACCAGCCAGGGATGGAGCTTGTGCTGTAGAGGCTGCGGATTACTTCATAGTGCTGTGCTTAACCCCTTGCGCCACCAGGGAGGCCCTATATAACACTTCTTAACACATTTTTATTCCCACTCTGTCTAATAGAAAAAATTGTTTGTGGAATATTCTCAATTTTTTTAAATAGGTAAGTTCAAATTTAATGATCATCTAAAGTACACCATTTTGTTAAATTCTAGCAACTCAAAGTGAAATAGAAAACCTGTCCCAGTGTATGCCTGCCTCTGCCCTTTGTATTCTGCCTATAGGCAATTTTTAAGTTAGAGACTACAATTTATCCTTTGCTTTAAAATTTTCTTTCTCTTGGGCAGGCTGGGGTGCCAGGAAAGCAAAGAATAGGGGTGAAAAGGAAGACATTAAAATTCTCAAAATATCCTAGTCTATATTGAAGAGCAGAAATAGAGTGAAAAAGTGCACTTACGCTGCTTGTTTTATCACCCTGGATTTTTCAAGGAGATATTCAGAGATTCTTGCCCCCATCACAGCTCCAGTGGGTGTAAACTTCATTTCCAGATATTTTCCAAAACGACTCGAATTGTCATTGATGGCAGTGCAAGCATTTCCAAAGGCTTCTACCAGGGAGTTGACTTGCAGAATTTTCTCTCTCAGAGTCTGATTATTGGCCTGTGCCAAACAAAGAACAGTTAGGAACCTCCAGAAGCAGAGTTGTCAAGTACCCCTCCCTGCCCACAAAATTCATTCTATCTTTTTGGGAAGAACTCCATTTAGGAAAGTTAGTATCAATCATCAGCCCTTTTTTCTCAGACGAGCAACTCCCCAGGTGCACAGTCACCAGATGAGGCTGGAATTTGTTATGTCTAGTCACAATTAACTTAGAATCTTTGACAGATAAAATACCAAGAGTTGAGAAAAATTTTAAATCAAGCAATCCCATGCCTTTTCTCAATCATTCATTACAATAACTCATCTGTAAAAAACATTCATTAACTTCTTTCTTAGTCTCATAATACAATAGTACTAAGTATAACTCCACACTGTTTTTTAAGTCATTATTTCAATGTCCATTTCACCAGCCTAAAAATTTCCATTTCCCTCAACTTCTGCTCAAAGATTTCCATTTCCAATCCTTTAATCACCTTAGTGGCTCCCTGATCCTGCTTCTAGTGTTTAACCACTTTTACTATTTAATGGCTAAATGTTTCTATTACATTGAAAACATGAAAAATTAATTGCCAATAATCTAGTAAATTCGTGCTGGCATTATTTTCCTCACTACATGAAAGAACGATAGCATGCTGACATCTTAAGAGGCCTAGCTATCAAGAGGCAAACATAATAAAGATGGAATGTTTTTATGTAACCCCTAATAAAAACCAGCATTGCCATCATTTACAAAATATGCAGCTACTCTGCAGGGACTTTTACTCACAATACAAAAAGCAGGTAGACAATACCTTTCCCAGGAAAGTCAGATGCTGAACTATCAGGTGGGCACTTTCTGTCTTCCCAGAGCCACTTTCTCCACTGATGACAATGCACTGACACAGAAAACAGTGTGAGTGAAGAATTCATAATGCAGTAAACACCCTGTGTGTTCAGCCATGGTTTCCACATAACCTTTATCATCATACACTTCACATTTTCACTGAGCAATATATCTTAGGAATCTTTCCATTACAAAAGATGGAGAGTTTCTTTAGCTTGTGGTTCCATTCCACACATGTATGACAGTCTATTTAACTAGTACAATAGTGATAGATATTTGAGTTCTTTTCTTATGCTTTTACAAATAATAGTGCAGTGTATAATCCTATACATAGGTTGCTATATTTAACAAGTTCAGTTGTAGAATGAATTCCTAGAAAAAGGGTTATTGCATTAAAAGGTAAACCCATTTATAAATCTAATAGACAGTACCAACAACTGTACCATTATATGAAAGTGCCTGTTCTCCAACAGCCTTAGTAATAGGATATGTTGGATTTTTTTTTTAATTTTTTGAATATATATATCCTGGCCGGCCGGGGAGAATCCCACATGGTGCAGCAGACCTCTCATGTCTCACCTGCTGCTCCCCTTGTTAGGGGGAAAAGGCAGTCCCAAAGCAAATTCCATACAGGCTTTGTGGACTCCACCCCCACCCCAGCAAAGACACTGGGAACTCCAAATCCCATCACCACCAAAGGGAAGGTGGCTGGGACCTGAGGGTGGGGTTAAGCAGCCAGGTGGATACAAAAGGCAGACACGTGGGCTTTGGGGGCTCTCTCTCCATTTTGGGGCCCTCGGCCAGCTCGCGGCGTCCGTCTAGCTCTGAGAGTGACTTTTTTCCAGGTCGTCGGATCTGAGTTGTACGCATTATTTCTTTTTCTCTTGTTGCGTGTGTCCATAAGTCCCTTTAAAGCCTTTTATTAACCCACAGCCAGGAACCCGTTTTGCTCTGCAGTGAGTCAATCTTTAAAGCCTGTTGTGTTCCCACTCCTCCCGCAACTCTGACCTGTACCCCAGCTCTTGTATACATAAATAAATAAATCTTTAAAAAAAATTTTTGAACATTTAAATTCAGGTAGCTTTTAAGTTGGTGAACACATGCGGGTGGTGGAAGAGGCCCAGACGCAGAGAAGACAGGGACTCTATGTGCCACCCCCCATATCACACCTTGTCCCACACATCACTTCCATTTGATGGTTCCTGAGTTGTGTCCTTTATACTGAACTGGGAAATGTAAGTAAAGTGTTTTCCTGGGCTCTGTGAGTTGGTCTAATGAATTATCAAACCTGACAGGGGGTTGCAGGAATCCTCAAATTGTAGGAACTGGCCAGGCAGAAGTGTGGGTAGTCTGGGTAGCCCATCTACAGCTGGCTTCTAAAGTGGGTGCAATCTTAAGAGACTGAGCCCTGACCTTTAGGGCCTGTGATAACTCCAGTGTCCAAATTAAATGGAATTGAATTTTGGACATCTAGTTGGTCTCAAAAAATTGTAGAATTGTTGGTATTGGGAAGGACACAGATAGATATGCTGTCAACAAAAATACAGTGGGGCAACTTCTTGAGAATCATTTATTAAGAATCATATATATATATCTTCCTGTTTACTTCCTCTCTATGAAATCTATGAATATTTCACAAGTCTCTGGGAAAGGTAAGAATTTGGAAAGCCTAGTTTCCAACCTAGAGTGAATCCATGCATTCTGTTTGTAACGCGCTGTTATAACTTCATCTATTCTTCAACAAACCCAAGGCTGGGGCTTCAACAGTTCTCAGGAAATAACACACAGAAATTATCCTGTAAAACTGTTACCAAATTAGATTAATTCTATTTCAAAACAATAAACGCACACAGGAAAACATATATTAACAGCAAAGGAAGAATCAATGCTTAAATATGTTACTGCTTTTTTGATATGTCACCACTGAAGTCCAGAAAGTTAAAATCTATGGGTGAGTTTTGTGTTAAATTAACATTGAGCTTAAGACTTGTTTGTCTTTACCCAATCAATCACAATTTCTCAGCAACTAAACAGTATGGTGCATGATCACTGCCAACCTTTGTGAAGTGTACTTTACACAAAAAAGAACTAGACCACGAAAATTCTCAGACCTTAGCAGAAGGAATATCATTTATGTCATTTTACATCCTCTTTTATTACAATCATTGCCACATAATCAGCTTGTGTTGGTTCTATGTTCTCATATCCATATTATATCCTTATTATAAAATATAATATCCTTATTATATTTTATAGGGAAAAATGATCAAGTGATTCACCTTTCCTAAAAAGGCTTTTCACATCCTTCTGCTGCTATAGTTTTATCATTGTTCCTGTTCTCCTGAGTTACATTTCATTTCCTATTTCCTCAAGTTAGCACAGTGACCAGAACGGAAGTTTTCAGGAAGACTTAAGAGCTGCAGAGAAGACAGAACATGTCCTATGTGTGACGTGCTAGGAAAGGAAGGTGAATTCTTACCTGGTCTTTGCTGAAAGTAACCATGCATTGGTAGGCAGCCTCTGCTGATGCAAATATATGGGGTGGGTTTGAGGCACGTTTTACCCCATGATAAAGTCTGGAAAACTGAAGAAAAAAAAAAAAAGTAATGTAGTTCAATGTCCACAAAACCAAGACTTTGTCACTTATTGAGGAAATTGTGATCTCAGAAAGTCTGCAGGGAGCACAGCTCTGGAGTTTACAGGCCTGAGTTCAAATTCTAATTCTTCCTTCAGTTAGTGGTTTCCTATGTTTGTACAAGGGAATTAACTTCACCATGCAGTCACCTTGCTTGCCATATAGGATTAAAAACAGTAGCTGTCTCACAGGGCTGTGAGAATAACAATGATAACCAGTGGTGCGATGAACACTCAATGAATGTTAGTATCGTTACATCTTGTTTTAAAAAATTAACTCCCAAGTGTAAGAATCCATCTGTGGAGGCCTCCCTGGTGGTCTAGGAGTTAAGTCTCAGTGCTACCATCGCAACTGCTTGAGTTCAAACCCTGACCAGGGAGCTAACCCACACGGCGCTGCAGACCTCTCTTGTCTCACCCACTACTCCCCTTAGCAGTGTATTTCAGTAGATCCACTTGTTGTGCTCCCCACTCTGTCTCTGATGAACCCTCTTAACCCCCACACTGCTGGCTTACACCCCAGTTCTTCTGTGCATAAATAAATCAATCTTTAAAAGAAGAATCCATCTGTGCTGACTTATTATCTGCAATTCAGGGTATATACTTATAGAATAGCATAATTTTACTCTCACTTTTACCTTCTTTTCATTTCTCCTTGTGATTTTTAATTTCCTATTAAGGAATAACATGCCTTTAAAATATTCACCCCCAGGTGGCCTCCCTGGTGGCGCAAGGGGTTAAGACAAAACCTATGAAGTTATCCACAGCCAATGCAGCATGCGTTTGATCCCCAGCCTGGGAGATACCCACATGGTGCAGTAGACCTCTCCTGACTTGCCCACTGCTCCCCTCTGCAGTGTATTTCAGTCAATCAGCCTGTTCTGGTCCCCACTCTGTCCCTGGTGAATCCTCTCACCCACCCCCCACACCTCTGGCTTGTATCCCGTTCCTGTATGCATAAATAAATAAATCTTTAAAAATAAAATATCCCCTACCTGCGGAGAGTATATGCACAGATTCTGGAAGGGGTTTAAGGCAATTAAGATGTCTCCAACATATGTGTAAATCAGCAAGTCCATATAACGCTTCTGCAGCTGGTGAATAATTGTATCCTAAGAAGGAGATAAATGGTGCCAATAGTAAACATTATTTTCAATTAAGGAAGCGTGTGTAAAAATAACAACACACTTATTCTCACAAGGATATTTTTCTCTAAGATAGTCAATTTAAGTCATACAGTGACCCTATTTACCCTAAATGTAAAGATTTGCTTTGAAATAAGAAAAACAGGAATATACAGAAAAAATAGGCTGACTTAGGACATGTTGAAAGACTGTGAGATATCCAACAAAGGTTTCATTTATTATGAAAAACTTGTTTTCATCCAATCAAAATATTCTGTTTAGAATTTGATTTATTAGGCTGTTCCCATTGATCAAGCACAAACAGAATAGTTACTTCATATCACAAAGTATTGCACTTAAAATTTATGTAGCAGGAATATAGAATTCATATTACTCTTTAGTGATTCAGGCATTGCAGTTAAGGGTCCCCAGAGTTAGAGCAGCATAAGCAGGTCCACTGCAATTAACAGCTCTATTAAACATGCATATACTAAATGGGGATTATCACAGTTTTTGAATTTAAAATTCAAGCTGTATTAACTTTACTATTTCCCTAAATGAAACTCTTCTTTATAAAGAACAAACAACTATCTTAAGAGTCAAGTTGCATATTTTTTAAAAATCGCATATAATTTCAGCTGATCTAATAGACCACTTAGGCGTCTAATATAAGTCTTATTAGAAAAATAAAATCCGTTCTTCATCATTTTATAAATGAATACAACACAGAATTATAGTCATAGTAACCAAATGCTCCCTGAGCCTTACCCCAAGGCTATACAAACAATTAACTTTTTTTTTTCTTTTTTTTATTTTTTTTTAAGATTTATTTATTTATACAAGCACTGGGTACAGTCAGAAGCACGGGAGGGTGAGAGAATTCACCAGAGCCAGAGTGGGGAGCAGAGCAGGCAGAAGGACCAAAGTACACTGCTGAGGGGAGCAGCGGGCGGCAGGAGAGGTCTGCGCGCCATGTGGGACCCTCCTCTGGTGGCCGGGGAGCAGCCGGGGATTGAACCGGCGCTGCAGAGGCTGCGGGCAGCTTCACAACCCAGCGCTCAACCGCTGCGCCACCGGGGAGGCCCCAAACAATTAACTTTTGAACTGATTTTAGGAGACTACACCTAAAGGTTAGATCATTCATGTGAAACAAATGTCATTGGTAAGAATTGTGAACTAAATATTTAATACCTCATCCAGAACCTCTAGATTGACCAAATCATCTTCAAGGCAGTATTTTTCAGCATCTTCCACATGATAGGGTCTTCTGGTATGCATCCTTTCATGCCTAGAAGTTTATCCAGAGAATGTTAGCATTAAGACAGTAAAAAGTGTAGAAAGTAAGCAACAAGACCAGCTCATTCACAGTCCTATCAATTGACATATTCAGAGACTTCAGAGACAGGGAAAGAAGGGCAAGTCCAGTCCCGATCTAAAGCTATAGGGCTCTGACTCCCTGTCACTGTAGGGCCATTAGCAGTAAGTGAGCTCCAGAGTTCAAGTGTCCCCTCTACCACAGTGAGGAGTATTACCAAAGCAAATGGACCCATCTTATTTCTGCATTTCTTAAATGCCAGTCAGAGTACTTCCAAAAATAAATTTCTCTTCGCATTTTTTTCAGGTTAGTGTCACTGTGGGTACTTCACTTGAGGTCCCTTTTTGCTATTCACTAGTACTACCCTCAATGTTTTGAGAAATTTTTATGATTTTTTTAAAGATGTGTTTTATTTATTCATAGAAGAACTGGGGTGTAGGCTAGAGGTATGGGGGATGAGAGGATTCACCAGAGACAGATTGGGGGGCAGAACAGGTGGATCTACTGAAATACACTGAAGGGAGCAGCAGGTGAGACAGGAGAGGTCTGCTGTGCCATGCGGGTTAGCTCCCTGGCCGGGGATCGAACTCAGGGCATCGTGGTGACAGTGCTAAGACTTAACCCCTAAGCCACCAGGGAGGCCCCTGTTTTGAGAAAATTTTAAACTATGGAAAATTCCAGAGAATAATATAGCACATATAATTGAGTCAATAATGTGTATACTTTATCTTATTTGCTTATTTGAAATTCCTTTGGGACCTATGCTCCATCCCATTCCCTTTTCCCAAGTGACCACAACTTGGTGGGTATCTTTCAGTCTATTTTAAAATACTGGTCATACACATATGTGTTCATGAATAATATACAAAGTCTTTATGTTTAATTATAAAAACATACTGTAAGTTCTAGTATTCAGCTGAGAACATAATTTTTTTCTGTTCAACACTATGATTTTTTTTTTAAAGATTTATTTATTTATTTATACAAGCACTGGGTATAGTCAGAAGCGCGGGAGGGTGAGAGAATTCACCAGAGCCAGAGCGGGGAGCAGAGCAGGCAGAAGGACTGAAGTACACTGCTGAGGGGAGCAGCGGGCAGCAGGAGAGGTCTGCGCGCCATGTGGGACCCTCGCCCAGCGGCCGGGGATCAAACTGGCACTGCAGAGGCTGTGGGCAGCTTCACAACCCAGTGTTCAACCGCTGTACCACCGGGGAGGCCCCAACACTATGATTTTTTTAAACTATGTATGTATATACGTATCAGCACAAATTTTAGTCAACTTAGTCACTGGGTCACTTTACATTATATAACGATGTACCAATTTATTTTCCAAGCCATGTTGACATTTAGGTTGACTTCAATTTTTTGCTATTAAAAACAAAGCAGCACTTAATATCTTTATGTGCATCCCCTGAAGTACATATGTGAGATTTTCTCCTGGGGGTATTGCTCATAGGGTAGTCTTAAAAGTTGGTTGGCAATCAATACCAATCCCCTTTGGTATACTAAATCACAGTTCTTTAAGGTATAAAATTGACTCAAGGTCAAAGTAACACTTCCCACAATCCCCTTCATAGATACATCACTGCTCAATGTGGTGTGGGGGAAAGCACTGGCCTAGAAGTTAAGAGCTCTGAGCCCTAGCTTCAGGGTTACGAGTAATGTGGTGTGGGGCACTCAGTAAATCCCTTAATGGCAGCTCAGTTTTCTTCATCTATAAACAGGATCACTCATGTCTGATCTATTTATCTCACAGGTGGCTATGAAAGCAGAGACAGTCATGGAGATAAAAATGTAAGAGCTGAAAAATGTCTAAGTACTATTCTTACATCACTGTCAAAATGTGGACTCGACAATTTGCCTGACTCTACCTATTACTCAGAATATTAACTGAACAAAATTACATGTGAAATGTCCTCCTGGTTACTATAAAATCACCAGCAGAGAAATATGACTACATGGTTCTTCCCTGTCACCTTTTATACTTACCATCAAGACAACTTTATTTTTTTATTTTGACATTTATCATTTTTTAAATTTTTTTAAACAATATTTGCTTCCCCCAACCCCCTCAGATTGAGTCCCCATAGAATTTCCTTCCCCAAGGCACCCCTGCACCATCACCACAGTCCCCTGTGCTCCTCCCTCCCTCCCTCTCATCCCTCTCCCTCCTCCTCCCCTGCAGGATGTCTCTGGCTTATAATTATCTGTTTTTGCTTTGTTGTGTTTTGTACTATTATTTTTTTTACACTGATGTCTCATTTGGTTCCCCTATACCATCAAGACAACTTTAAAAGATACAGTTGTCTCTTGCCAGGTCCCAGAAGCTAGCTTTTCTCTCAATATCATGTGGGAGTCATAACATCCTGATGGACAATCTACCCTTACAACAAACACTTCACAAAAGTAAGTAAAAAGAAAGAAGCAAACTCAGTTCTGCATACTAAGTCTTGAGTTTATAACACAATGGAAATGAGCAAAGAAAACTGACTTTTTTCACTTACTGCCTGTTGATTTAAATTTTATATCCCTATCTCCATCTCTGAGTGATGTGTCGAAAGGATATTTGAAACATGGTATTAGCCGTCTATAGTGTTAGAAACAAGTTTGTTGCTAATTCATTTTAAAGTCCAAAATAATAGATGAAACTTTATTTTACTAAATAAAATCAAAGTTATAACCTAAGTGTCTTTAAATTATTAAATAGAGAAATGTATTCATCTGTGTCCAAATAATTGGTGATGTCAAGAAGCCACATTGGCTTGAAATCCAAATTTTTATTAAAACTAAGACTTGTTGCCCAGTTCTAGCTAGACACTTTGATAATAAAAGAGCAGGAGGTACATATTTTTGGCTAAATCCTCTTTACACAAAAGCTAAGTACTTTTTCCCTGGAAGTTCATCATAAAGCAAAATATCACAACACATTTTTTATAAAACAAATTCTTAACATATTAAATTCGACTAGTTTATTTTCTTCCTAAGCTCACATCTTGCAAATGTATGGGGACAGACTAAGTTAATTTTTTTCTATACATCTTTTTACAAAGAAAACCAGGAATTCAAAAAAAATCACCCTCAGATCTGGTTCCAGTAATGGAGTAAACACTCGCCACTCTGTCTTCTCACTGAATGCAACTAAATATCCTGCAGATGCCTGGTACTCTGAGAAATAAATGGTAACATGCAGATTCAGGAAATGAGAATTCAAAATACCATTGAATCAATGGTGAGTTTCCCAGAGATTTTTTTTTCCTCCAGCAACTCCTGACTTTGACTTACATATAAGGGATGTCAGACTTCAGCCAGGTAACATCTTTACACCCAACTAAAAAGGTAGCATTGACAAAACCTCACATGCAATATCACAAATAAACTCTAGCAGAGACTTGCGACTTTCAGTGTGAACATGCATAATGTAATAATACAAGGATCAATACTGTTAGCTTCTGAACCTCCAGTGGATTTGTCCATATGCCCATCTATCTGTCTATCTCACAGATTTATCTTCCAGGAATCACAAGATAATGTGTACAAATCTGAGCTTGATTTTCATAAAACATTCCTTTTTTATAAACAATTTTTAAAAGATTTTACCTGCTGTTTTTAGCAACATATGACATCCCACCATGCTCATAGGTGTGGGACTGGTCTCCCCAAAAAGAATCAGTTACACTTTTCCCAAGATGTCCAGAATAGGCCTTTTCCAATATATATTCACCTTAGTATGTGGAACTATGGTCAGGGGAGGCCCTGTAGGCTTCAGGAGAGACTGGGACCATTTCTTACACAATGCACATTACCTTGATTTAGGAATAATCTCTCCAGAAACAAGGTTTTTATTGACGAAACCTATTTTAAGGCAAGGCATACATCTAGAATTTTTTTGAATTCCTGGTTTTCTTTGTAAAAAGATGTATAGAAAAAAATTAACTTAGTCTGTCCCCATACATTTGCAAGATGTTAGCTTAGGAAGAAAGTAAACTAGTTTTATCATATAGAGTCATGCCCTCCTCATCATATGAAACTTTCCCTCTTCTTGACATACCAGGTCCCTTACCAGAAGATATAAACTGGTTCACTCCATTTTATTTTAGAATTCATAGCCGTGTAAGTTCTCCATTTGCATGTTAGTAAATTTTGGCTTTTTTTCCTCCTACTAATCTGTTTGATGCTAACATGTTTTGTTCATTCAACCTCAGGAAACCCCAGAGAGATAGAATTTTCCCCTATGTCAACACAGTAAATTCCAACTTATTTGCTCCCAAAAAGAAGCTGGCAATCTAGAAGCTGATATAGATGTGAGGTATTTCCACTCTGATAGAGACCACTTCACTTTCTCAACCAGGGGAAAAAAAATATCTGTTACTCTTATCTCTGCCTTCCCTGACTAGCGCTCACCTGGAAATTCTTGGCTACTTTATTTTCCTACTTTGGCTATAGGGTTTGCAAAGCCGACTGAAAAGAAATACTATTTTCCAATTTGTATCTATCTGTTTTTTGAAATTATTCTAGACTTTCAATATATTAATGAAAATTATTATGTTGGTTTATATTTGTCTATTTTTAGCACTTATTAATAAAGTAAACTTGATTTAAATTTTACAGTTTTCTGGAGTTAAATGAATTGTTGTCAATGCTGACTTAAATTTCCTTTAAATTCATATGCTCCACCTAGTGTTTTACTTGATAATAGCATCTATTAATAATTTTTACTGACGAATTCCTTGCTTGATATGAAATCTTCAGATCTCCAACTAAAAGATACTTGGACTGAGTATTCCAAAGCTTAGAGGAATGGAGAGATAGTTAATGGATGGATAAACAGTAAAAAGCATTTGATGAAAGCAAGAGTATATGCTAAGATGTTACAGTCTTAATGTCTTAGAAGACATTTTCAAATGTCTTCAAATGACATTGCTTTTTACTAGATTTCCTATTTTCTTTAATTTTTTTTTTTTTGAGGATCTAAG